ATAGATAGATAGATAGATAGATAGATAGATAGATAGATAGATAGATATGAAAGATGATAGATAGATGATAGATAGATAAAGATGGATAGATAGATTAGATAGATATGAAAGATATGATAGATAGATGATAGACAGATAGATAAAGATGGATAGAAAGATTAGATAGACAGATAGATAGATAGATAGATAGATAGATAGATAGATAGATAAGAGAGAGGGGGGGAGGGAGAGAGATAAAATATATTTATATAGGAGGTGCAATGGCTCAGTGGTTAAAGATAGAATAACTTTATTGTCACTTTGGATGTACACTAATCATCATACTGTATATTAAAGTGAAATGTCATTTCATCCAGTGCTCAAAGGGCTACCACCTCTACCTCTTCCACTCTCTTCCTCCTTCCCTTTCTTCCTTGCTCCCTTACTCACTTCTTTCTCTCCTTCCTTCTTCCCTCTCTCCCTTTTTTCTATTTTCCTCCTCTCCCTCCCTTCCTGTCTCTGTTTTCCCTCTCTCCCTCCTTCCTTCCTTTCTCTATTTTTCCTCCCTCCCTCCTTCCTTCCTTTCACTTTTTTCCCTCCCTCTTCCTTTGTTTCTCTGTTTTCCTTTCTTCCTTTCTCCGTTTTCCCTCCCTCCTTCCTTGCTTGCTCTGAAAAACGCCTTCCAAGCGTACTTAAAGCTGGTTTCAGTTGAAGAGACACACACTGTGAATCCTGGCCTGTAACACTTGGATACCTTCCGCAAAACAGTGAGACAGACATTCCAGCCTGTGTTGCTGGCTTCCACAGGGCTTGTTGGTGCCAGGTCAGCTGATGTGGTCCAGATGTGGTGGGACTTTCAGAAGCATATCGAATTTTGGAACGATGTGCTAAGGACGATATCCCCTCCAGCCCCGCCCCCAAAAATAGGCCCAGGATAAGGGGCTGGGGGTGATCAAAAATGGCATTGGGTTGCCTTTAAAATAATGAATGAGATATGCATTAAATCATAATTTGAACTGCGGTTAGTCGGGTGATTCCTTAAGTGGTTCAACACTTCACAATTTCACGGCCACTTTGGAGGGCTTCCAGAGTCACAGCCAAAGGGCTTTTGTGGAACTCCGATTGTCTGGGTCTGTTTTAAATCATGATTTTTAAATTCATTTATAAATATCAGCCGAGGAAAACGGGAGAAAAGAAAACTAGAATCCTCCGTTGTGGAGAAGAGAGATTATTATATGTAGGCCCATTCTTCTTCTCTTGACGTCTCCTTATGCAGGACTAGCTGGATAACTATGTGGTCGGGCTTAGTTTTTTGGGGAGGAAAATAAAATTCTGCCTCTGCCCACCAACATCCCTCTGTATTCATCTGGCTAGCGTCCTGTCAGTGCGTGAGAGAGTTGAGGGCTGTTTGGAAAGTGAAACAGTATTTGTTGTGTGAGCAGGGAGCCTGGGCGTGGCTTAGCTCAACTGTTCTGTACTAAAGCTGCCTGGTGCTGTGAAACTAAAACTGAAGATCGTCTGCTTGTGTTTTGCCTTTGGAAGAGATTTCTTTTCAGGTGGGGAGGGGGAGTAGAACTCTTTAGCATCAGAGCGTGTTAATAATAATAATAATATAGGAAATACTAGTGCTCTGATGGTCTTTTTGACAAATCCTTTCTTAGTGAGCACCTAGAAGCCAAGAAGAACATATGTGCCAAGTTTCAAGTTTGTAAGCTTTACGGTTCTGAAGATTTTGTGATGATGCATGAGGGCTTTTTTGCTTTTTGATATATATATATATATATATATATAATTATATTTATCTAGGTCTGGCAAACTTGTTCAAGGCCTGACTTCCTGTCTAGGCAAAATAACATGTGAATTTTTTTTTTTAAAGAATCTTAGAATGTAAGGATTTTTCAGATCATCTAATCCAGTGTTTCCAACAGTGCATCTCTTCTTTAGATCTTCTCATAGATCCTTCCTGATCCTTCTGACCAGAGGGATCCAGGATTAATCCTTCCCTGATTATCTGCTTGTCTGCAATGCTCCTCATAGTTCGTAGGCCGGGTCAGAAATCTCTTGAGGCGTGAATATTGCTCATAAGGATCAGTCGATCCTGTTCCCTTCTCCTCCCAATTCCCAACGGATCTTCTCTTTTCTCCCGTCGGATAAAGGCGACGCCCTGCTGGACGCCGGCGAATCTATGAAGCGCCTGGCCGAAGTGAAGGATTCTCTGGACATCGAGGTCAAGCAGAACTTCATCGATCCCCTTCAGAATTTGTGCGACAAGGACTTGAAAGAGATCCAGGTAATCTCCTGAGGGTGTTTTTTTTTTTTTATCCTTGTCCTTGAAGGGAATAAGAGATCTTGTGGGGTCCCACCGTGATGGCACAACCGTAGCCCTTTTAAGAAGGGTGGCCTTCAACTCCCAGAATACCACAGCCAGGATTGGTGGCAGGGGTATTCTGGGAGTTGAAGTCCACCCGTCTTAAAAGGGACATGGCTGATTTACAGGAAGGCCTTACAAACTGGCTTTGGTTTAGGTCGTCCGATTGGTTTATGTGGTTCTATCTATATCCCGAATTGATTAGTCAGAAGCATTAAAATCTATTCTGATTTAATTTTATATTACATTGCCTGACTTTGCCCTTCCCCAGTTTCCTCCACAGCCAACGGAGCCACGCCCCCTGCTCTCTGTCAGCTGTTCGTCTTCTTGTGACGGGCGTTTATTGCATGACACCCTTATTCAGTGGAGAGCATTTGCAGTACAGGTGGTCCTTGACTTACATTATTTCATTTGGTTTGAAGTTACTATGGCTTTTTTTAAAAAAGTGTCTTATGACCCTTTTTCACACTTACGACCATCGCTGCATCCCCAGGGTCACATGATCAAAATTAAGACATTTGGGAACTGTCTCCTATTTATGACAGTTGCAGTGTCCTGGGATTGAAAGAAGGAAGGAAGGAAGGAAGGAAGGAAGGAAGGAAGGAAGGAAGGAAGGAAGGAAGGAAAAGACAGAAAGAAAGGAGGGAAGGAAAGAAGG